GTCTGCGGTATGGGGCCGTCGGCCCCGGAGACGACGAGAATCGACGAGATGTGCTCTTCATCTCCTTCATCTCCCGCATCTCTCTCTCTTTCTCTCCCACCATCCTTCATCTCCTTCAACTGGTGTTGATGGTGGTGTTCACGTGGGCGTAGTGACGGCGGCGGCGTTCGACGACTGATGATAGCCACCGAGCGAGGGAATCTCCGGCGACGTCTCTCTCTGTCGTCCTTCATCTCCGGCGTCCTTCATCTCCTTCATCTCCTTCATCTCCCGCATCTCTCTCTCTCTCTCCCACCATCCTTCATCTCCTTCAGCCGGTGTTGATGGTGGTGTTCACGTGGGCGTAGTGACGGCGGCGGCGTCCGACGACTGACGATAGCCACCGGGGGGTGGTGGGCAGTGGATGAGAGAGAGAAGAAAAAAAAATGAAAACCGTTTTCAAAAGAAGAAAACGAAAACGAGAAAACAGCTTTTTTTCGTTTTCAGTTTTTCACAAAAAGACAAAAAAGTTTTTGTTTTTATTTTTTGAAAAGTTCTGTGCCAAACACGTTTTTAGATGGTGTTTTCATTTTTTAATTTCGAAAAACGTAAAAAATAAAAACAAAAACAAAAACAAACAGGCCCATTATTTCCTAAAAAAAAAAAACAACTAATATCATTATCGATATCATTGTCATTATCCTTTAAATTAAATTAAATTATTAAAACTAAAACATATATATAAATGAGGGAGAAATATATATTAAGATAATTAGCATAAATGGTCTCTAATTTTTTTAATAGATGACAATTAAGTTCTTATATTTTTAATTTTGACAAAATGACCCTTAATTTTTTTAAATTAGTGCAGTTAAGATCTTTTTGTCAAGGTCCGTCTAAATAATAGTAGGAGAAATCACGTGACGCTCAAATCGTTTGTTCAGAAATGCTCAAAAAAAAATCTTTTGTCTAAAACAACCACTCAAAAGACATGATAAAATTGAGATCAAATTAAACACAATATAAAAAACCAAAAAGAACCCACATCAATGCTTCGAAGAACAAAACCTATGAAGCTTTGATCCAAAACAAAACGTCTAAAAAAACTCTAAAACCATATCATGTCAAAATCCATGTGAGCCCCACTCATATATGTCTTCTGAGATCTTTTTCTCTATCCTTAATCTCTTCAAAACTATACAAAAAAGTGTTGGGCAGATGACAGAAACATTAAACCCAGCGTTGGTATCTTAATTTTTGATGATACAGGCGTCGTTCATTTCACCGATTTAAGTTTAAAATTTGAGTTTTGTTACTAGTAAAAAACTTTCAGAAACAGTCACGTCTACTTTTTTACTATAGTAAAAAAATTTAACATAAAATCACATCTCAACTCGATTCATTAATTTGAGTTTAAATTTAAAAATTTGAGTTAAAAAAAGAACTTAAATTTAAACTCAAATTAAAACTCTAATTTAAACTCAAATTTTATAATAGAATATAAACATAAATAAAATTATAACTTGATTTTAATTTTTTTTTTGAGTTTTGATTTAAAAGAATAAGTCCAAAAATTTTAAAAAAATATTTTATCTAATTTTTTTATTATAATTAAAATTTTTTTAAAAAATATTATATTTCAATTCGAATACGTGAAAGCAAACGAGGCCTGAATCATCCGAGGGATTAGGGGATACGTTTTGAATTTTCTGGGTTAGGGCATCTGGAAACCACATCGGCAACAGCGAGACTGTTACCGACATGCATTTGCCCTTTTGGGGATTGCTCTCGTCGCTGTCTTCTGTTGGGCTTCCTCTCCTCATTTCTCCTGGTGGGTCCCTCACGAGGATAAACCCCAGCGCACCTTGCCATTTACCGACCCTTATTTGCCCCACACAAGTAAGAATTTTATTTTTCCACTCTCACTCAGGAATGTTCTTTTGGGTTAATCATCTTTTTGCGCATTTAGTTCTTGTTCTAAAAACTAAAAAATGGTCTATATTTGTGAAAAAAGATATTTACTTGTACAAACAGCTAGTAGAGAAAATGAAGTTGTTTGACATTGTTGTTTCATTCATATTTGTCTTTCATGTAATCAATTCCTTTTCTATTTGTATGTTTAGATCGTACTAGACTATTAGTTAAATATGCACTAGTTGTCTTGGGCTGAATATTTAAGTTAATAAACTAATCATTCAGTTTTTGCTTTACTTTTCGTTTGTAATATTGGAAAGAAATTCTGATTGAAATGCAATAAAAGCACTCTTTTCCAAAATTTTCTTGGGTTATCCAGTGCAATTTTTACTCTTTCTATTTATACTTATTTCTTCTTATTGTTTTTTAGTTAAGATTACTGAACTTTCCTTTTCTTGCTTTGTCTGAAGGCGATTTCAGTCTGACTGAATTTCTATCCTCATTCTCTATCTGTCTCTGGGAGTACTATATTAGTGAGGAAACATGGTTTTGGGCCTATTTCCTGTCGACCCCCTTTCTGGTAAGTGTTGGGATTCTTCTATCTTTATCTCTCTTGTGTTGGTTTTACTATTCTCCCAAAAGCTTAAGCTATAAGAACGGAGTTGACCACGTGATATCACGTGGGTTAGGCAATGGACAATCGTTTGGGTAAATATAAATCAGAAGGCCCTTCCTGTGAATGTTAAATTATAAGTTATATATATATATATATTTCATTTGGAAAGGAAAAGTCTGTTTGTTGATTTGCCTCTGCTTAATGAGAACATACCATTAGAAACTTGGTTGTACTGCTGGCTGGCATGTTTGATAAGGCCTAAAACCTTGTATGCTTAAGGACGTACTAATACTTTTTTAAGCTTTAGATAGTTTTTCACTCTGTAATATTTGTTTGCATCTCTTGTATATACGTCGGTGTAGTTGTTGACAATGTGTGATGATGCAATGTATCATTGTATGATCACAATATTCTAATTATCACCTAACTTCTCATCTAAGATGCTATTCCTTTCTCTTTTTCTGCGCTGGAAAAAAATACAGTTTTTTGTTTTTTGTATGAACTGCAACTGAACATCTCTTCAAGTTGGACCGCCTATGGTAGAACCACTCTCACAACCTTTGAGGCTAGCTTGGCTGGAACTTTACTCTGCTAGCTCATTCTGGGTCTAATAGCATATCTGAAGTCACAAGTTATCTTGGTCGCATAATTACTATCTAAACTTGAAAAGACTTTGATGGTTTTGAATTTCTAGAGAATGATTTGAAAGGCTAGCTAGGGCAGTCAGGCATAACACAAACTTCTAAAACAGTATATCACCTTGTGTGTGTGTGTGTTTCCTGCAAAGTTTTGTGGCGACACTTCGTTCATGATACTTTTAAGACCATTGATTTTTGTTTTTCAATTTAAATATATCTTTATAAGAAAAACTGATTTCTATTGATGTGAGATTTTCTGTTTATTGCATTTTAGACTTTGCCAAAAGTGCTGCTTGGCATTACTTAACTCTTCCCTGTTGTTTCCTTTTTGAAGTCTGGAATTTAATACATTCACAAATATCTGATATGTATAATTCTTTAGTTGATGCCTGTCTTACTGATTTGCTTTGTTTACTGATATCAATCTTCTGAGTGGTTCTTTCCTCTCTCCCTTGACTGTGGTGATTTAGTTTGTAATTAGGATGAATGGCATTATTTTGTCACTGTCTAACTAAACAAGCATGATGCAACAGGTGAAAATAAATACTATATCTTTGCAAAGGGGACATATAAAGTGGGTCGGAAAGGTACGCTCCAATTTTAGTTTATAGTTGAACCCATGGGCACACTTCAGTCATTTAAAGAAGTGATTCAATTATTGTTGGACTGATTAATTGTCGAATGCTTCTATCCTTCTCTTTAAGATTTTAAGGTCCTTTAATATGATTGGTCCCTAAACTACACTAAAATTCTTATTTCGGTCCCAAAATATTCAAATTGAGACTTTCAGTTCTTAAACCTTTTTGAAGCACCTGGTTATTCCCTAACGCCAATTTCTATCAACAACTTTGATGGTAAGAGCATGAGAAAATTGGCAGCACTTGCACTTAATGTGCTCTTTCTGTTGTTTTGCATTTTTTTTTAGTTGGAAATTAGCTTCAGGGACTAAAGATTTTTCTTTTTTAACTGACAAGGTAACTAATCCTTTTATGGTCTTAACTGTAGTGTTCGTCACATTTTGGCATCTCCATACATTTCTTTTTTTAAGGATTTTAAGGAATAGCGTGTCTGTTGCAATAAGGCATGAATTTGGCTATCATATTTATTGTCTATTAGAGAAACAATTTTATGATGCAGACAAATAAGTTCTAACTATAATTTGATCACCATAATATAAACATTATTTAAATTGACTACATTTTATTATGCTCTAAATAAGAGAGAACATATAAAAAGTAAGTAAAAAGTAGAGAAACAATTTTATGATGTTGACAAATAAGTTCTATATATAATATGATCGCCATAATATAAACATTATTAATTTGACCACTTTTTATTATACCCTAAATAAGAGAGAACAGATAACAAGTAAGTAAAAAGTATAAAATAGAAACAAAAATTAAACCTCTTTTAAGAGGAAAGAGTGGATAACAAGTAAAGAGCATAAGTAGATACAAAAATTAAACTACTTTTTTCTTAAGCTCCAAGTAAGAGAAAAGCGTAGATAACAAGTAAGTAAAAATTATAAAAGGTGAAGGGCATAAATGAAAACAAAAATTAAACAGCTTTTTCTTAAATTGTAAGTTAGAGAAAAGAGTAGATAACAAGTAAGTAAAAAGTACAAAAGGTGAAAGACATAAATAGAAACAAAAATGAACCGCTTTTTCTTAAGATCGAAGTAAGAAAAAAGAGTAAATTGCAAGTAAGTGAAAAGTAGAAAATGTGAAGGACATAAATGGAAAAAAAATATTTTCATGATACCCGTCTACTTTAAGACGCCTTTTTTCTTAAACTCTAAGAAAGAAAAAAGAGTAGATAACAAGTACAAAAGGTGAAGGGTATAAACAAAAGTTAACCTCTTTTTTTAAGCTCGGAGTAAGAGAAAAGAGTAGGTAACAAGTAAGTGAAAAGTAGAAAAGTCAAGGGCAAAAATGGAAAGAAAATATTCCATGACAATTGCCTGCTTTAAGATGTGTAGTTTCGGCTACCACTCTATGAACACAATCGTCATCCGATTTTTTCACCAATAGTTGTTAATTGGCAGTCCTCTAAATCTTTTCTAAGAAGTTATCATATCGTTTTTTTTTCCAGCTGATTTTTCAACCAATTGTTAGTTGGCAGTGCTCTAAATCTTTTCTAAGAAGTTATCGTATCGTATTTTTTTTCCCTTAATTAGCAAGGAAAGAGGGCAAGCAAACAAATTCGATAAAAAAAGCAGGTGGACAAATACAATAAAAGCCAATCAGAGAAAAAACAAAAACCAAAAAAAAATAGAAGGGGCATAATAGGAAATGAAAATTAAAAGACACCTACTTGCCTAGTTGCTTTAACGCGTTTTTATTATATAGTAATAGATATATATATTTTTTTCTTTTTGTTTGAACTGAAAGGAGGTACTACAATCTTTTCTGAGTCATTTTAAAGTTATGTTTTCTGTTGTCTTCTTAGGACACACCCTTTTTCCTCTAGTTTTGTGTTTCTGTACTTGTATGTTGGTCTAATTTCTTGGTTGTTAAAAAAAAAGATAGTCTTTGTAATTCTAGTTATCTATGACCTCTTATGTCCTCACAGGCTGTGATGTAATTATCACTAAAGACAAAGGAGTTTCTCGGGTACATGCAGAGATATTTGTTGATGAAATGAGTTCCAGTAAATCTTCTAGTTTGTCCTGTAAAATTCGAATTAAGGATTTATCAAAGTATGGAACATTTATTAACAAGAACCTTGGGTCAATGGAGAAAGTCCATGAGTTTCCAAATAAAGAAACAACTTTAGCAGATGGAAACCTACTTTCATTTGGAACTGGTAATGCAAGCTACAAGTAATCTCCGTCTCTCTCTCTCTCTCTCCCCTCTCCCCCCGCCATTGTTAATGGGTTAATATTCAAAATGATGCATTTTTAGGAATCGACAAAGTGAATATCATTCGTCATTGTTCCTAAAATCTTACCTGCCATTGGATGATCAAAATGTAGCTAAATTGGTCAAAGTGTATTTCTGCCGACATGGTAAACACAATGTTCCTTTTACTTATGCATACCCCTTGTTAACAAATTGGCAGGCTTTCTTTTATTCCACTCGTTTTCTGGGTCTACACTTTGGAGCCAAACCAAGTGAATCATCCCCTTCAAGACAAACTTTCATCAATAGGTTAGTCAGAAACACTCTGGTAGCTAACAAATTTTATATACCGAGCATGCCAATATCTAAAAGTTTTACTTGGTTGTGTTCTTTTTTCATTAACAAAAAGTTTAGTTCCTTCCAAAAAAAAAAAAAAAAAGAAACAGTTTGCTTATGTGGTTGCTGGTAACTTGTTACGGTTTTTGTATACAACTGCTCTTTTGATTGTTATTTGGTCATTATTACTATTGTTATTGTCAATTATTATTAGAAGCTGCTCTTTTATAAGGAGAAAACAACAAATACATCAGAACAAAGGCAATGAAGAAGGCCTCAATTTGGTAGATAGATAAATGTTGTCTTGGTTATTAGACCATCTCCACTGGAAATGCGAATGTCAATTGTATATTTAGCATCATAAAGTATGATATGGTATGCTATTTTCATTTTTGCTTCAATGCATAATGCTATTTGAAATGCTAAATCTACTTTTTCCCATAATCATTAAGCTTTGAAAGTTGTAAAAATAAACTTTTATTTTTAAAATAATTAGAAAATCCAAAAGTTGCAATGATTACATGAAAAGGTATACATTTCAACCAATGGCAATCAAAAGCCAAATTTCTCATATGCTATACTTGGTGGGAAATTTGCCACAAACTATAGCATATGGAAATTTATCACAACAAATAGCATTGCATTAGAGAGCGTTTTTTGTACTCATGCTAAATTTGTAATTGGCACATCAATAATTATAGCATTGCATTAGAGATGCTCTTAATATTGCTTTTTCACTTGCATTCCATTTGAGAGAGCTATAAATAAAGTGTCTAGCTCAGCTTGTAGTAACTCTACAGATCTATGCCTCGTTCATTTCATCGATTCGAGTTTTCAATTTTAGGTTTCTACAGTAAAAAGCTCTCAGAAATTGTCACATCTAACTTTTTCTGCTACAGTAAAAAGTTATTAGAAAATGTCATATCTCAGTTCGAATTAAAAACTCGAATCCGCGAAGTAAACGAGACCCTAGTTTTTTGGTCTTTGACCTTGTTTATAAACCTGGAGAAATAAGGCTTCTGCTGATGATACCAGTCACTGTTGTGGAACTGTTGATAATATTCATCGAGGTCGCAAGAGTGTGGAGAGCTACTAAATAACTTAAATAGTAGTTTGGCATGGCTATATCTATGTTCTAAGTTGGAACTTAATTGACATCTAAACCAAGATTTTAGATTGTGGCATGTTTGAAAAGTAGAAGAAGCACAAAATGGAAAGGAAAGAGGGCAAGAATGCGCCAGAGAATAATACTAGAGCTTGATAAATAAACTCTTGTCCTGTCACATTCACAATAGTAAGTTTAGTCATAGGTTTCAGTCATCATAATTTGGTCATGAGACATTCAAAATTCAGTAGCAGAACAATCGGATGTTTGTCAGTACATGGCAGAGGTAGGATGATGTATGTTTTAGCCCGTTTATTGTTGTTGTCTTGTATTGCTTTCTCTTAAGGGATAAAAAAAAGTGAAAGCTCTTTTTGATAATCATCTACTTTAAATGAAAGTCATTGCGTAATTTTGGTTGTTAGTAGCATGTAAATCCATTTAGGTTCCAAGTAGCATGTAAATCCATTTAGGTTCCAAGTAGCATACCAGTTGATGGATATTTGTTTTTTCTTTTTCTGCTTTCGAGAGAAAGAAAAGTAAACTAGCTTTCAACAGAAAGAAAAGTAAACTAAGGCGTGCTTTTGCTTATTATACCATGAAAGTTAATGTCTCTTAGTATTCTGTTTCATCGTAGGTGCTCATATTACTTATAATTTCAGTCAAGAATGCACCCATGTACTGATTGAGGAACTTATGCCAGTGAGAGAGGATTTACTTGATGCTATTGTGGCAAAGAAAGCTTGTGTCTGCAGTAGTTGGATTGAGGTAAACAAATGTTTCAGTCTTGTTATTGCTGATCTTGGGTAAAATTATTCAACTATGATTTATTGAACTTTTTTTCAATTCACTTCAAAGTAATGTCTTGAAGACGTTAATTTATAGCAAAAAATATATCTTTATCTTGTTTTATAAATATTTCATTTGTAAGAAATTATTAGTATGTTAAGTCATGTTTATCATACATGTGAACTTGTCTCTATTCTTGCTTTCTTTATCTTTGTTGCCCTGGTTTTTTACTGGATTCTTTAATTGTTCACGGGAAATGAAATCATTCTGAGGCAAAGTCATATTACTAGTTCTGAAACATATCTATTTTACTATTCCTGGGTCTTTCACCCAACTTGCTCTAGTTGTTGCTCTGCTTGTATTCTAGCACCTTCAATGTTCTTCTCTTTATTTTGTATGTATTTTCCTCGACATTCTGGAATTCCCAAGATAATTGAACTCGATGCACATTGGTCTTACAAAGTGCCCATTAGTTTCACGGGTTGAGGAGGGTTTGAAGCCGTTATCCGATTACAACCCATGTTTGTTGGTTAAAATTTTCAACCTGGACTTTGGTTTTGGAGCGCTTACAACCCCATCGGCCAAAGTTTTAACCTATTTGCTACAGTATCTGGTTTAAAACCATGGCTCTATTTCTAGTTTACTCACAATTCTCGCACTGACCAAATAACAATTCAAACTTTTATTCTCTGATGTGATGTTTTATTTCTTGTTTAGACTTTATACTTCCAAACACCAGTTTGGACCAAAGTAAACCCTGAAGGTTCAAAACCACACATTTTGGACCAAAGTAAACCCGAAATTTTCAATGTTTGTTGAAAATTTTCAACCCGGACTAAATTTTCAACCCATGTTCTCAACCCTAAATTATCCGATTACAACCCATGCTTGTTGGTTAAAATTTTCAACCTGGACTTTGGTTTTGGAGCGCTTACATCCCCATCGGCCCAAGTTTTAACCTATTTGCTACAGTGTCTGGTTTAAAACCATGACTCTATTTCTAGTTTACTCACAATTCTCGCACTGACCAAATAATAGTTCAAACTTTTATTCTCTGATGTGATGTTTTATTTCCTGTTTTGACTTTATACTTCCAAACACCAATTTGGACCAAAGTAAACCCAGAAGGCTCAAAACCACACATTTTGGACCGAAGTAAACCCTAAATGTTCAAAACCCCACATTTTGGTTTAGTCTGTTTTAGGAGTTTTATGGTCTGTAATTTCTGTGTGTTGGCTGATTAATAGTGTAGTCTTATAGTCTATTTGTTTTACGTTTTTGTATTTCGTATTTTTTTGGGATGGATCTCTCATCTGTCCAATATCTTCTGTAAAGTTTTCATTTGTTTAATGGAATTTTTGTTTCCTATCAAAAAAAAAAAAAAACCCCGCGAAGCGAATGGAGCCAAAATTTATGACAAGGACCGAAATGGTTATTCTTATAGATACAACTTGCCAAAAAAAAAAAGATGCTTACATGGATTTAGGCACTTTTTAAGTTTATAACAACAGTCTTATGGTGTTGTGATTGGTTGTGACATCTTTTGACTAAATAATAATCTGAACTTTGTCATCTAGAACTATATTTAGTGGATGATATTGTTGTGCAGGATTTCTTTCCCTTCTTTTTTGTTTTCCTTTAATTATAGTCTCATTAATTCTTCAGGATGTTTATATTTTTTAAAAATTTTTTTATTAGAGTAAATAAGTTAGTGATTTTTACATTCGCAAATTATGCAAATTTAGTCATGGAGTAGTTATTTGTGATAATTAAGGTTTTTTTTTTATTAATAAGAAAAACAACTTTATTGATGAAGATCAATTATAGGTACAAGAGGATAAGGTATCCTCAAGAATAAAAAGTAAACAGTACAAAAAGAAGAAACCAATATGATAAAAAACTTAAAGTTCATCTACCTATCATATCTTTTCTATTCAAAGCAACCAAAGAAAACGGAAAACCCTTGAAAGCTTTGTCTGATGAAGCCCATAAAACAGAATGAATATAAATTTGGGATTTTTTTAGGTGCTACATTTTCTTGCCATTATTGATGTGGTTTTTGACATGTATGGTCCGTTACAATTTGTCTATTACTGGTACATGTATATTAATTGAGAAGATCGTTGAACTTACCCTTAGAGTGCATGGGTTTGGATTTTTACCCCTTACTCTTGATTAATACCCTTTTGACTAATATAGTTATTTCAATAAAAAGTATATTAATCAAGAGTAAGAAGGGGAAAAATCTAGACCTATGCACTTTAAGGGGTATTTGTCACCTTTCTCCGAATATTGATTTTAGATGAAGATCAATGTTGCACAACGTAGAATTCCGAAGTCAACTTCATTGGGCTGACCCGAGTTGTCTCTGGTTGTCCACCTAGGCCTGGCATATCTTACTTTCCCATTATGTAAATTGGGTAATCAATTACATTCAATTGCCTGATATTCTCTTATCTATTTTAGGCTAATGAGGATTTGTTTCTTATTTTGTAGGCCTAGTATCGTGGTAGAGATAAACTGGTCTATGGTTTTTCTCTCTTTTATATATCTTTGTTTTCACATTTGTTTATCAATAATAAGAAAAATTCAAATTCCAGACACTTTCTGTTCTCAAACTGCATGGCATCAGATTGATCTCTGAAACCCTAACCGAATGGTAAAATTTGGCATGGCTACCGAGAAGAGTAGCACTTCAGATGTGATCTCAACTGTGAAGGACGCTGTCTCAAACTCTCATGGAAATTCTGAGAGTCTCGTCATTCCCATTACCAGCCGCAAATTCAATGGGAAAAATTATCTCTAATGGTCTAATCTGTTAGGATGCTCGTCAGCAAAAAAGGGAAAGATGATTATATCACTAGAGCTGCTGTGCTGCCACCCAAAGAAGACCCTAAATTCAGAAAAGGGAAGAGTCTAAAAACACATGGTCCTGTCCTGGTTGATCAGCACTTTGGCCAATGAAATTGGGCAGGATTTTATGTTCCTCACGACTGCAAAAGAAGTGTGGGATGCCGTCAAAGAGCATTATTCTGACAGAGGAAACACCGCTGAACTCTTTGGGATAAAGAGTATCCTCCCTGATCTGCGTCAAGGGGAGTTGTCAGTATCACAATACTACAACATTCTTGGTCGTCATTGGCAACAACTTGATGTGTTCGAAGAACTCAAATGGGACTCCCCTGAAGATGCTGTAAGATACCGGAAAGTTGTGGAGAAAGACAGAATTTTTAAGTTCTTACTAGGACTCAACAAAGATCTTGATGAAGGGGAAGAATCTTTGGAACTAAGCCGCTGCCTTCTCTTAGAGAAGCATTCTCAGAGGTACAAAGAGAAGAAAGTCAGAAGAGAATTATGCTAGGAAACAAGAAACCTTAACAATGGCAGAAAGCTCCGCCCTTCTCGCACGTGGAACATCCTTCCATGGTAATGATAATCCTTCTCGTAAAGGTAGACCATTGAAAACCAACCTTTTGGTCCATCCAATAATGATCTTGATATTCCCATTGCTCAAAGGAAAGGGGTGAGATCATGCACTCAACATCCCATCTCATACTTTGTGTCATATGGTAGATTGTCCCCTAGTTACCGTGCTTTTATCACCAATCTATCACATATAGAAATCCCTAACAGTGTTCAGGAAATGAGATTTAGGAAGGGGAAATGCATCATCAGATCGAAGGGAAATTGAACAAAAGTAGGTTTAATTATGGATGGGTTAGTGGAAGTAAACGGCAGATTAATTCAGTGGGCAGATGTGGAGGACTTGGTTAAATAAAGTGAAGCTTAAGTTGGTGTCAACAGAAGAGAGTAAAAAGGAAGATAAGACCAGAGAAATAGCAAGAAAGAGAGGAGGCAATAAAGAGCTGCAGAACTTAGCTTTTAATGTCAACTATTCTGCTAGCAAGAGGGGCATGCACACTGATAAATGAAGCTCATGACATGGAATGTTTGGGGTACTTGCTGCCTTTTGAAGAGAAGTAGCATAAAGAAAGTAATTTGTAAGTCCAGATTTAGTAGTCAGGAGATTAAAAGACGAGGTGGATAGGAGGTTCATAGGAAGTATTTGGAGGGCAAGATTGAAGGAGTGGGTTCTTCTTCCATCTAGGGGTAGATCAGGAGGTATTTTAGTAATATGGGACGTCAGAAGGAGGGCGTTAAGGATTGTTAATTATCGGGGATATATGGTCTGAATAAAATGTCATTAAGAGAATCATTTTGGGATGACTAGCGGGTCTTCAAGAGGTTTTTGGAGATAGATGGTGTCTTGGGTGTGTAACTACGAATCTTCCATCATTGGGGCCTTCCCTATTTAGGTTTGAAAACATGTGGTTAAATCACCAGTGCTTTAAAGAAGATTTTGAGGGGTGGTGGAGGGAAGAGTCTTTTCAAGGGTGGGCGGGTTACAAATTCATGTAGAAGCTCAAGAGTTTGAGAAGTCAGTGGAAAGAG